ATGGAGCAGGGAAAGAAGGAATGGTCAATCAATGACTAGCCCAATCTGAGATCCACTCCACGAGAGAGCGCCAACCCCTGACACTATTAATGATACTCTGCTATGACTGCAGACAGGAGCCTAGCACGACTCTCCTCTGACAGGCTCCACCCAACAGCGAAATGAAACGGATGCTGAGACCCACAGCCAAACAAATCTAGGGGAGTCTGGTGGAAGAGGGGGGGAAAGGATAGAAGGACCCAGAGGGGACAAATCCCCTCAACATGACCAACAGAGTCAACTAACCTAGGCCCATAGGAGCTTACAGAGACTGAGGCACCAAGCAGAGAGCATGCATGGATTGACCCTAGATCCATAACACATATGTAGCTGACGGGCAGCATGGTCTTCATGTGAGTCCCCCAGCAACAAGGGGAGCGTGGGTCATGTCTGACATGGACTCTGTTGCCTGCTCTTGGGTCACTTTCCCCTAGCTGGACTGCCTTGTCTGACCTCAATAGAAGAAGATGTACTAAGTCCTGATGTGACTTGATGGGCTGGGGTGGGTTTGGGGGGGGAGGGTTCCTTGCCCTTTTCTAAAGAAAAGAGTAAGGGGAAAGAAGGAAAAGGGTAGGGGAGTGGGACCGGAAGGAGAAGATGGAGAAGCCTGTGTCCCCTTTTCTAAAGAAAGGAGTAAGGGGAAAGGAGGAAAAGGGTGGGGGAGTGGGACCGGAAGGAGAAGATGGAGGAGCCTGTGATTGGCATGTAAAATGAATAAATGAATACATTTATATAAAAAAAAAGTCTGGGCTGAATGATGCTGGTGCATGCCTTTAATCCCAGAACTCTGGGAGGCAGAGCCAGGCAGAGCTCTGAGTTCAAGGCCAGCCTGGTCTACAGAGTGAGTTCCAGGACAGCCAAGACTACACAGAGAAGCCCTGTCTTTAAAAAAAAAAAAAAAAAAGAAAAAGATTTACAACCTTATTCATCACGAAGTGGATAAAGAACAGTCATATTATGGAGTAATCTACTAAATGAGGCTTTAAAACATTTACTAATCCAGAATTAAGCTTACATAAATGAGAAAACAAAAATACCACTCATTTTATAATTCTATATATAACATAATACTATAATAAGTCAGTAGCCTTACATTTAAATATGTATAACAGAAAGAACAGTTGCTGTGAACAGTTACTATTTTGCTGTTATGAACTTTAGGGGCTAGGCCTTGAGAAACAGAACAAAAAGCACAGAAGCACACTGTCGTAGCTTGAATGAGAACTGCCCCATCCCCACTCATTTTTAAACACTAAGTCCCCAGTTAGTGGTGCTGTTTGGGGGAGGTTAGAGAACTTTTAGGAGGTGAACCTGCTGAAAGGAGAACATCTCTGGGGTGAGTTTATAGCCTTGTCCCAATTTAAGTGCCCTCTTTCTACTTCCTGTGTGTGGTTGAGCTAGACACTCAGCTTCCTGCTTTTGCCACCATGCCTTCCTCAACAACTATCCAGTCCTCTGGAACCAAACCACAGACAAAATCACAACAGAAACATGACTTATATGTGAAGGCATTTGTGGAAATAAAGGGCATTTCTAGCTAGTGAAATAACTAACTATGATTTGCTAGACATTCTTTGCCTTAGTCTATATCATACATTATCACATATGCTATAGCCTTGGCATTCCAAGAACTTATACAAGTTTTTTTTTTTTTTGGGGGGGGGGGTTGTTTTCTTTTGTTTAAGAAAGGCATAGCAACAAATAATCTCATGGTGAGTGCTAATTCTAAATAGTTCTCACATAGTCTGGAGACTTTCTCCAAATACCTCACACCTGGCTGGGTATTAAAAGACATGGATCAAAAGCTATCTAGATGAAGTAAGATAAAATCCCAGGCACAAAAAGTAGCGAGTGCAAAGTCTCTGAGAATTTTAACAAAATGTTTTGCAAGTAATGACTGATGCTTTCCAAACTACTTTTCGTTAAGGGCCTGGGTTTTATCCCTAAAGCCATGGTCCGGTAGTTTTGGTTCATCCCTGTTCAATGAGACAGGGCTTTGGTGTGCCTGATGTCATGGCAATTCAAACTGCCTGTAAAGGCTCACTTTCAATTTTAGTGGTTTTTCATCAAAGACTAAAAACAAACAGTTCCTAGGCTGTGTTGGTCCATGACTCACAATTTGAACTGTGTAGAGCTAGACCAGAAGGAATTTAGTGTATCATGGAGACAATGTGGAGCCACTGAAGTCTGTACTTTTTTTTTCTTTCCTGATGTTTTTTCCTAAAAGTCATGGTTTTCCTGGAAAATTGACAATGCTAAGTGAAAAACACCATTGTTTTCTTTATTTTCTAGATTAGAAAAACATAAAATTTTAAATTCTTTAAATTTTTTTTTTATATTTCCTTACAATGATACACTGAGAAGAATGGCAACACATGTAACAAAGAGTTAATTTCCCTAAAACATAAAAATCTTGGAGAATTAGTAAGGAGAAAATACTCAGTAGAAATGGGGAAAGAGGGCTAGAGAGATGGCTTTGAGGTTAAGAACACTGGCTGCTCTTCCAAATGTCCTGAGTTCAATTCCATGCAACCACATGTTGGCTCATAGCCATCTATAATAAGATCTGGTGCCCCCTTCTGGCCTGCAGGCACACATGCAGACAGACCACTGTATACAAAATAAATAAGTAAATCTTAAAAAAGAAATGGGGAAAGAATAGATTAGTTATACAAAATAATTTCTAATGTATTTCTAATTTTCTTACATAGCCTTTCTATGTAAGAAAAATATGCAACTTTACTAGCAAGAAACCAACTACTAAGATTCTACCACCTAAAAGAATATCAAAACCCCCAAACTTTGACAAATCACCCTATTGGTGGGTTAGGAAAGAAAAACATTGGAAAGAAAAGTAAGCCCAGCATTACTGATAGGGGACTATCACCTGGGCAGTCACCAGAGCCATTTACAAATATCCTCATACTGCTAGAATAATTTATAGAAATAAATGATAATAATAAAACTGATGCACTAAAGAACCTATGAGTATTACTGAATTAAGTTAATAGGTGAAAAAGAATTTTTTTTTACCCTGGAACACCCATTTCCCACTGTAGAAAAGATGGTGGAAACAAAGTTAGCACCTGCAACTAGTGGGAGCTGCAGACAGATGTCATCAGTAGTAGGAACAAGGTACCAACACAGTCTCAGAGGCCCTCATTACAAAGGGAAAGACCTGAGCCATACTTGCTCTGCCAAACATTAGGGCTAATGTCAATTAGGGCAGGACAGGTTCACAGTGGGCACTTCTTTTATAATTCCTATCAAGTAGGCATGGTCTGAGCCTAACATGAAGCTACAGAATAAAAGTCTTCATTGTTTAAGACTGTGAGGATAACAAAGACTTGTTTAAAGACACTGATTAAAGGCAGTGGCCATTGGACTCGGGCTCAGAAAGGAAAGGGAGACTGTGGGGAGCAGTTGCCAATCTGCAGGACATCCTGATGCTGGTGTAGTTCCTGCTGTCTTAGTGATAGCGTGATTACGGTCACTCACAGGAGCGGCCTTGTTTTTAGGGAGGATGTGAATATTTAGGAGGACTCTCTTGTCTACTACTTTCTCTCAAGTGATTCAGACAAAGAGTAATCATGGTAGAGGAAGACCGTGAAGCATACATGAGGTGTGGCCGACGCAACATTTGCTGAAGGGGCACAACTGTACCGGAACTTCCCTTAGGTTTCAAGTTAGCGTTTAAAGGGTTTGTGTGTACACGAGACATGCTTGAGTTTTCACCAAGTTTCACACTAGTGACTGCTACTGCCATTGTTTAAAACAACCCTTCTGCTTGTAGACTCCCTGTCTTCTGATGCACAGATAAGAACATGTTTTGCTAAGAGAAAACTTTTAATGCTAAAAGTGGAAAAAAATATTTTTGTCCTGGTGAGTTTTATGTCAACTTGATGAAAACAAAGTTACCTGGGAGAAGAAACTTCAATTGAGAAAATGCCTCCATTACATTGTCTGTAGACAAATCTGCAGGGTATTTTCTTGGCTAATGACAGCCATGGGAAGACCCAGCTGACTGGGAGCAGTGCCACCTTGAGACAGGTGGTCCTGGGCTACATAAAAAAGGTATCTGAACAAGGCATGGGAGCAGGCCAATCAGCAGCATTCCTCCATAGCTTCTGCTCCAGTTCCTGCCTTAGGTCCCTGCCCTGCTGTGGAGTTATATCATCTATTCTTTGTTCCTCTTTCTCCTCCTCCCTCCCTCCCTCCTCTCCTTCTGTGTTACTCCCTTACCAACCCCATGAGTGTTTCTGTGTATGTGTCATATGTGTACATGTGCATGGAGGCCAAAGAAAGTCAGGTACCCTGCTCTATCACTCTCTGCCTTACTCTGCGACAGGGATGCTCACAGGGTCTAAGATGGGATAATGACCAGCAAGCCCCCATGATCATGACCCACCTCCCTCACAGTGTTGGGTTTCCAGGTGCATGCAGCCACACCCAGCCTTTTACATAGGTGCTAAGAACCAAGCTCAGGCTTCATGCTTGCACAGAAAGCAACTTTACCCACTGAGCCCTCTCTCCAATGCCTTCATTGCACATCCTAGTGTGTCCATGTTTAGAGCCTTAAACTAGGGTCCAAATTTTCCACAAAAAGATGTCTATAAAATAAGCCAGTAGCACCTGAACTGGCCAACAAAAAATATAATAAATTACCTAAGAGGCCTTGTTCCCTCCTTTAACATTACACCAAAGAGATAACAGTAGAGAGAATAAGCATTTAACCCTGCCTTCAAGCTCCCATCTACTAGGCCTAATTGACTTTCATTAAGCAACCTAGAAAAAACCAAGGCCACCTCACATCCCTTAAGGCTCTAGCTTAATTGCCAGGCATTCCCAGAAGCACACTGTAAGAAGATGACTAATTACTGACAGCTTCTCCAGCACCATATGTCTCCCAAATTTTTCAAAGGAAAAAACTGTCCCAGCCATTATTGGAACAAATTTCCTACCTCCTGCAGCTGGAGTCGGACCTTGGTAACTGCTCGGATCCAGTGTGCTCGGGCTTGGGTAAATGGTGAAGATGCATTCTCCTCTGGAAGACTTCAACAAACAAACAAGTCTTTCTTGTAAATAGCAGAGGCAACAAGGTGACAATATTTGAGGTGAGACTGCCAAATATCTAAAATAAAATAGTTTTTTGTGCTCATGCCTACCTAGTGATTCAGGCCTCAAAACTGCATAGTTCTAAACACCTATATTGTTCTGAAAATAATTCCTCTCTACAGTAACAACTCCTTTCATGTTTTCACTCCCCCTTCCTTCTCCTTTTTTTATATACACAAATGAAATAGCTCAGAGACATTGAGAGGTGATAAAGCAAGAAGCAACAGCAAGAACCTTAAGTCAACATCAAGTGCAGAAATCACAGAGAGTGTGGAATGAGCATTTCACCCTCGCCCTGACTATGGCTGAAGGCCACCAGTCACCCCTGGGATTTTGCACAGCTTCCTTAAGAAAAAAAAAAATTGTTCTGCAACCCTTCCTGCTCCAGTGTTTTAGAAGACTTACCAATGCTGAGACTATATCAAAAAGTGACAAGGGGAAGAATTATTTTGAATGCCGAACTGCCTCTATGGAATGAACAGTAAATATAACTAAGTACTTCAGAATATGCCAACCAACTATATTCGAATAGGTCATCATATACGCTCTCATCTGGAACAGCTGTTAGTTCTGTAACACTCCCCTTCTGCCTTTTGGAGCCTATAGTCAAGACAAATGTCTGCTGACTGCACATGCAAAGTTTATGCTAGGCTCCGATGGTGTCTAATTGTTTTAAAACATTGTGGGCACTTCTGACCAAAAATCTGGCTACCATTTACAGCTAAGGCCTGGGAGGAGACAGCAGTAGAGATGGACACGTACTCACATGAAGTACATCACCTCTCTACCAAGAGCTCAGCCCTAACAGTGAACTCAGCTTCAAGGTCCACAAAGAACCAGCCTTTTGGTGGGACATCAACCCAGTATGAGACCTGCTCCAGACCTTAGTCTCCTGGGCCTCCTGACTATTAATTGAACCACAATAGATGACTAAAAAACAAGAATGGAGCTAGGCATACGCCTACAATCTTAGCAATCAGAAGGTTAAGTTACAAGTCTGAAGCCAAGCCTGGGCTACAGCATAAGACCTTATTTTATTAAAAAAAAAAAAAAAAAGGAATAGAAAAAGTAATTTATAATAATCTTCAATATATTATTTATCCAGCTACCCAGCATTCACTGTCCTGGTCTCTTAGTTTTGTGATAAGATCTAGAAGTCTGAAAATGAAAGCCATCCCTTTATCATTCAATCCTAGTGGTTTTCAGCTGGGCACAGGGCAGGATTTTGTACTTGAGGGACCATCTCACAATGATTGGGGAGTTTTTGGTTGTCACCCTAGTCACTGCTATTAGCATCTATTGCATAGGCCAGAGAATCTAACAAGTGCCCTAAAATGAACATGGTAGTTTTCTGTAATAACTATTTGTCCTAAAAAAATTGCCAACAGTACCAAAACTGAGTGACCTACTATGCACAACCCTATCAGCTAGTCTAAACAGGTTAGCTCAGTGGTATATAAAGAACACTCAAATTCTATACTGAACTTTATTACACCACTCTTAAGAGGCTGCTTTTAGTTACTTTTGAGGCTGTATCTAGACAGGGTCTCACTGTATAACTCAGGTTGGTCTTAAGCTTGTAACCCTTCTGCTTCAGCCTCCAGAGTACTGAATTACAAGTGTATACCACACTTGGCCAAAAGATACATTACAAAATTTTCTTCTTATGGGTACAAAATGCCAAACACACTGCCAAGCCATGAACAGTGTTGTTGTTGTTGTTTTTTATTACATCTGTCAGTTCTTCTTTAATTCTGTTCTGATTTTCCTCAAACAGAGTAAAATAGAACCAAACGTCAATGCTCACAAAAATAAAAAATGAAAATATGAACAGAGTAGGATATAGGCAAGGGTCTCTAGGTAATGGAAACTACTGAACAAAGCAACCTGTAGGGCTCAGGCCCTACTTAGACTCAGAAGTTGCCATTTGTGGGCTCAAGAAGTCCTGGTCCACATGCATCTCAGTAACACAAATCCCTCAAGTATCTTGGGAATTATACCAAAAATCAAAGGAAGATGTTACAACTTGACCACGGTTGCCATGGCCCTACCAAGCTGCAAGAGAACAGGTGAAAAGTGTTTACACTCAATAATAGACACAACCTACCTCTCCTGAGGTCCTAGGATGTGCTCCTTGTGTAGCACCAGATCTGGAGGAGGGTGGATTATGGCACTGCCCCTCAGCTCCTTGGATTCACCTGTTTCCCCCTTCTCTGATTCACATGTGACATCCAAGGCTTTCTCTTGTTCTCCCAAACCGCCCTGGCCATCTTTGGAGAGGCTGCCATAGCTATGGCTAGAATGAGTGGAGTCCCTCTCCCGATGCTCATCATCTTGCTCGTGATACGGGTCTAGCTCACTCAGCAGAGAGCTTCCTTGACTCACGTTACAGGAGGAGCCATACCTACTACTGCTGGCAGGGCTGTGAGAACAGAAAGACACCAGGTTAGTAAATAAGTGCAAACCAAGGGCCAGACCACACACAGACACACCTGCAGGGGTAATCACAAAGGGGAGGCTTCCAGGAAGCAAAGGCAAACATTGCAATCGAGACAAATTTGTCTAAGTCAACCACAAGAAGAAAAAAGACAACGTGCAAAGCCTCTAACACCACTTAACATCAGCCTTGACTTCAAAGAATATTTTACCTAATTGCCACCTGTCAGTAGAATGAAGAAATAGTAAAATGGCCTACTGCTTATTTATAAAACTCCTTCCTCAGTCTTCTAAAGAAACTTTTCCAGTGGCTGTGATTTAAGTTTTCCAAATTCCACATAGTAGAGTGAAGTAACTGAGCCCCCCCCCAGCACCTTTTATCACTTAATAAACAGAAGTCCTTACTGCTTCCTCTGCAATTACAAATATGCGTGTTTGTACCTTAGGAAAGCAGAAAAGTATTCCTTCAGTCTGCAGAATGAAGTATGGAAGCCACTGGGAGATGGTGGCCAGAATTAAGAAATTCCACAGAGGAATTCCACAGGTTTCACCAACAAACACAACAGTGATACTCTTTCTGGCACAGGAAATGTCCCCAACATACATCCGTCCTTCTATAGCTGAGTTTCTCTTAAGTCAGGGTTCAGTTACGCACAAAGTGAATGAAGTCCAACTCCTCTGGATCAGGACTATTCTGCAGTTATCTCTCTATATGATATGAGATTCAGACCTCTGTTAATCCCCAAATTCCCATACACAGAATGAAATGTTCCCTGCTGTGGAAGGTAGATTTTAGGTGATAACAGTATCAAGATACCCTAGAACTCTCTTCATCTTCTAAGGGACCCAGCCTTAAGTGAAGATGGAGGGACTTGCTGATGAGCTATGTGAAAAGGACAGCTCATTTGGACAGTTCAATCCAATCAGGAGTTCTCATTTTCTTACGAGTAGGTACCCTTCTGGAAAGCTTTTATGTAAAGAGAGTTGGTTTTGTTTTGTTTTGGGTAGGATCAAGTCTTTAACTTAAGGTCTTTTATTTACCTTTGGTCAGATCAAGAGAAGACGTTGTTGTTGTCCAAAAAGATTTTTCCAATCAGTCCTCCCAATTACCTGCTATTTTCAGGCTGCTTTGTGATTTTTCAGTATATATTAGCAAAACAGATATCAGGTCAGTGTTCTAAGTAGATCTAACATGTGCTCTCTGTCCCTCTGTGTCTCTCTCTTCACTGTTCCAAGTTGATCTATGTCTGGGCCAGAGGTCAAAATAGCATTCTTAAGCTATACTGTGTGGTGCATATGCTCGAGGCAGTGACAGCAACCTCTACAGATGACCCATGCTCGGTGCTCCAGGTGAAAGAACAGCAGCAAAAGAACTACAGCTTTGAGTAATGTAGTAATGTAGCATGACAATCCAGGTGATCCTTGTTTTAGTTGTTCAGAGCACTGTATAGTCTGTACCAGAGACCCTAGAAGCTTAACAAATCCATGTGGAATAGGATATGGAATACAGGTGGTCCTAAGTCATCCTTTGCAGTTTAGATTTTACTTTACACCCTCACAGCCACTGGGAAGGCAATCTTAGAAGACTTGGAAACCACAGAAAACTACAACTATTCCCTTCCACTGAACTATAAGTATCTAAGACCCAAGAAGGCATCCTATCTGATTATATACTTATAATTAATAGATACTACTTAAATACTTGCTGTCTCTTTCTGTCCCTTCTCCAGAACAAAGCAGACTATATAAATATTTGTATATATTTATTTATATTTATATATAGTGACAAGTAGAATTCTACTTGGTACTGGAAAAGAGAGAGAATGACAATACCAACACATTCGCTTTTGTCACTTACACTAATCAATATGCAGCTCAGGTGATAGGAAAGACACGGGGTGGACCGACAGCGAGCTATGACACTCTACCACTAATCATCTGCATCATAAATGGCCAGTTCCTTAAGACCATTTATGATGCCTGAGTTGAGAACAGGCCTTTTAGTGGTCACTGGTTCCTTGACATCCTCCAGAATGACTAGCTGCTGCACATTTAAAACAGAGCCAGTGTTAGCAGACGCCTCTTCTTGCTTTTCTGGCTGAGGTGGCCCAGAGATAGTGCAGTGCTCCTCCCTGTGTTTCTCGGAAGGACAGGCAGACCCAGACAGGCCGCCGTCTGCACCCCGGTGTTCTCCAGATGCTGACATTTCCAGCTGGCTTTCCACTTCACCAGATCTTGGAAGCCCGTGAGCACAGTCACTTGGTTTGGCCTCCAACTGTTGAGTGGTTCCAGAGGGTTGAATACAGATGTCAGCTACCTCAGGACTAGCACTAGGTATTTGAGAAGATTCTAAAACTTTGTTAGCCTTGCTGATGGTAAGGTCGTGATCACTAACAACCAAAACCAGAGGAGAAGATTCTGCAGGCCTCTGCTCAGGGTCTCCTTTATTCTCTTTTGACCATGGAAAGGAAAGATCCAGTTTCTTTCCGAATACTAGTTTTGGCTCATTTCCAAGGATACCCCCTTTCCCCTCACTAGCTCCTTCAAACAGAGTGGATAACTTCTTAAAACCTGACATTAAGCCAGTCTCTGCTGCTATGTTGCCAGATGAGCAAGAAGAGTTAAAGAGAGAACTCAGTGTCTTCCTATGGTCAGAAGGAGAGGATGTAAAGTGAAGCTTTGGCCAACTGGACATATTTGGGATCTCAAAATGAGGCCTTGTCTGCTCTGTTTCCTGGGGGGCTGCAGGTAGATCTTTTGGGGTATGAAGTATACGAGAACTTTCTCTGTCACAAAGCACAGGTTCCTCTTGCAAAGGACAAGAATGATTCCCTGGTGTTTCTAGCGTGTTATTCTCACTGACTCCTGCCTCATCAAACAGTGAAGTACTAGTTTCTAAAGAAGTAGTTGCAAGCCCCAGGAAATCCTGGTTTGTGCTGGCCATTGGCTCTGGCTCGGGCTCAGGCTCGGGCTCAGGCTCAGGCTCGGGCTCCGGCAGTGGTTGGCTTGAAGAGGGAAGCTCTTCCGCAATCCAGGCAGACTCTGGCTGTGGCTGTGCTGGAGCAAGAATGTGTTCTGCTTCCACTGACGTCTCTGTGTCTGTTCCCTGCAACAGCCCCATGTCTCCTTCATCACTCAAAGACGTTCCTTGTGCCATGCCATCCTCTGAGACAGAAGATGTGGCAAGTCCTTCAAAACACGGGGGTTCTGAAACAGTTTCAGGAATATTGCTTTTCTGCACTTCAGGTGTTAGTCTATGGTCACTGGTCAAGAGATCTGACTCTGACTTTGCAACCATAGTTATGTGCCAGGCACTGAGAGAAGATTCTGAATCGAGTGGTGCAAAGGCAGCTTTTCCAGGCAAGCTTTTTGGAGGTATTGATCCTCCAGGATCTCTGGAACAACTACTCTGAAGGCATGAAGCAGTTACAGATGGTTCTTGTTTATGTGTCTCTGGTTTGGGACTTCTAAAAAATCCAAACAACTCACTTTTGAGGGGCTGGGCTGATGCATCAGGGGAAAAAGGAAAAAACGAATTTTTCTTTGGAGATTTAGGAGTAGAAAAAAGTCCAGAAAAAGTCTTAGGCTGTTCAATTAAGGACCCAGAAAATGATTTTACTTTGGTCATAAACCCTGAAAGTATTTCTACTTTGGAGCCTAATCCTGATTTGTCTTCTAATTTATCTGCATCACTGTTCTGAAGGAGCCCTGTATGCCCTGGCTCTGGAGAAGGGGAATCCACAATCTGTGCTAAGAGACTGTCAGAGGCAGTTCCCAGGGGTAAGTTCAATGGGTCAGTGATCAATCTTTCATTTTGATGTTCAATACAAATATCTAAATCATTGAGCTTCTCATTCAAATCATTCTCATGAGGAAAAGGCTTAGGTGCTGGGTCCCTAGGGGAGGTTTCTTGGTGGGAAGCATCCTCTTCCTGAGGAGCCACCCCTAGGGCTTGCTCCTGAAATTCTGATAAAAAAGCAACCTCATTGTCTGGCAACTGATTCACATGAAAGTTAGAAGCAGTTGCTCTTTTTGCTCCTTCCTTACTGGAACTCACGTTTCCTTGGGTTTTCTCTATGTGGAACTCCTCTGAAAGGGACGCAGTAAGTTTAGTGGTGCTACTAGTAAATAAACAAGGAGCCATTTGTTCTTCATCAACTACTTCTTGGACCATGCTTTCTTTATGACCCTTAGAACCTTCCTTTGTCATCGTGTCTCTAGAGTCTACAGAAACAACTGGCTTTCTACAGGGCTGGGCAGTCACTGGGGCAACACTTGAAAGGCTTTGCTTCTCCTCAGAGGTCTGCTGCTTCTCCTCCAGAAAAGACAGGTTAAACAAACTGAAAGCAGAGCTGTTGCGAGAGGCATCCTTCTTGATGCTCAAGCTAGCCGTGGAGAAAAAGGAAGGAAGCGTGAACAGCCCTTCTGCTTGAGATTTGGTGTTTGGGGGAGCTGCAGAGGTTTTATTCAATTTTTCAGATGCAGTTAAGAAAGAAAATATATTCTTTCTGGTTGGTAGCTTTTGTTGAGATGCAGGTGTAGCAGTTGAAAATTTCCATTCTTGGTTATCTTGCTCTTTTGTATTTCCTTTACTCAGAGCATCAAAAGACTTATTATTCCTTGGAACCTCCGTTTCTGTCGCTATAGCACCAGTTCCTTTTGAAGAGCCTCTGGGAGACTCTCTGGGACTACCTGTTGAAATAGGTGGACTTGCTGATGGCTGCACCTGTTGGTCTCTCACAGGTACCTCGTTTTTGTTCAAATCATTACTCTGCATCTCCCTGGTTGATGGTTCTCTTAGCCCACTGTCATCAATAGTGGTCTGTTTGGTCAGGCTTCTAATTCTAACCTTCTTTTCTGAGAAAACTGGTAGAGAAGAAATTTTTCCTGTATCCTGATGAACTAGGTGTACAGGGATTGGACTTGAACTGCCTGCACCCTCATCGATTACTGAAGAAACAGACCTAATTTCAGTTGTCTGTATGGGAGACACACTGGTTTTAAAGAAATCCCCAAGGGTACCAAAAAAAATTGAAACACCAGAAGATTCTTTCTTTTCCTGAGATGAAACCTTTCCACCTTTATCACCATTCTTTTCCAGGTCTGACAATTCTTCCTTATATACCTGGGTTTTAAAGAGGTTCAAAATTCCAGATGCCTGTTTCTCATTTGTCACTGTACTTACTGAAGACTCTTCTTCCCAACGGAAGAGTTTCAGAGCACTTTTAAGCAAAGTTCTCTCAGACTCCTTGGAAGGCTGGTCCTGCAGAAGCTCAGAATTCTTATGCTCATCCTTACTAAGCTGTGTTGCAAGAGGATCTGAAATGGACATTGCTGTCATAATTTTAACATTGTCTACATCTGTTTTAACTTTAGGAGTTTTTTGACTTACTTGAAAACCAGATTTTAATAAACTTTCTTTCTCCATCTGACCATTTTTATGTGAAGGGAGTTCTTGCCTTATATTGTCAGTAAACGCCGGTCGCTGAACACTGGATGCCGTGTGCCTCTCCAAATCCTCAAGGTGACTTCTGTCCTCCTTTGCAGAGTTATATGACAATTGCTTGCTTAAGATTAATGGCTGAAGACCATCATATATGGGCTCAGATAACTCTGATTGCTGATCTGTTTTCTGTATGACCAAATTGTCTACAGATTCACTCTTGTCAAAATTCAAACTACTTCTAACCAAGGCACCCAAAACAGAAAATACAGGTGTTAATTTGTTCGCTAAAGATGTTTCTTCCTTTTGTGTACTTTCAGTCGTACTTTCAGGATGAAATAAAGAGGAAGCATCTTCAGAAGATGACTGAAGCAAATGGAGCCTGGAAAGGTGAGCTGACGACTTTTTAGCTAAGGGCCAGTTCATGTCTCTCTCGATAATTGGGCCTCTATTTAAGACATGATTGCTCATAGTTCCTGGCTTGTTTCTGAGATCCAATACACACTCAAGGTCTTCTGAACGATAGGGTCTCCCTATGAAAGATCTAAAATCTCTTTTAAATTTTTGAGAATTATAGCCTGAAAAATCTAACGGTGTATCCTTTTGGTCAAAACTTGACTCAAGTACTTGAGAAAAGGTTTCCAGATTTACATACAATGACCTCTCAGTTCTTGGCAAAGTTACAGATAAATCAAGAGGGTCTTCAATTGGTTCCTCTTCAACATACCATATCAAATTATCTTCCTTGTTAAGAACTTTAAGACTATGGGCAGAAATAATGCTGTCATCTAACATAATACTTGGGAGGGCATCTGTTTGTAAATTATAGTTCAAATAATCATAATAACAATCAGGTATAAATAAATATACATACTGCCCAGTAGAATCAGTAAGAAAAGAGTATATATACTGACCGTCATGAAACACATAATAGCCATAATTCCCATCCTCTGAGGGCCACCAAACTCCACTTTCAAGATAGGATAACCACTCTTGATACTCATAACCAAAACTTGAAAAGATCAAGTTTTCATCCATTCTTACTGATTCTTGTTCCAGCAGAGAGCGCATAACTTCATCATAGTCTGAAGAGTAACTTAAATCGATGGGCAATTCTTCTAGTGAATTCCTGGTCTCATTAACTGGAAGATAACCAGCGTTTCCACATAATGAGTTGGCTGCCCACATATCACCTCTTAACAAGTAACCTTCATTAAATGCTAACTGGTCAGATGATTCATATGGTAAGTCACATGAAATGACACTGTTTGGATTTGTGCCCCACTCAAATAAACTTGCATTATGATCTTTTTGGCACAAATTTATTACTGGATTTTCTGAGTCAGGCCACAAGAAAGCATCTGCAGATGGAAATGTATTTTGATTCAACAAATGATAAACTGGCTGAAGTCTTCTGGAGTTTTTAGAGAAATCTTTTATATCAGAATCCCATTCAAAACAGTCCTCATCAAAACCCCTATAATGGTTTGACTTATTTAAAATGTTAGTATTTAGTATTGATGAACTTAACTTGTTTGCTCTTTCATGTAGTTTTATTTCAAGATTATGGTTTGGTGTTGGCCTCTTAGCCACAGATTTCTCTAAGAGACCCTGGTCAGTACAATGGAATATGTTTTCAGAAGAAGAGCAATGTTTTTCACTCTCCTGGTTTCTCCATGTAGGAGGGCAAAGATGATTATCAGCCCAACTATCAGATGATGGAATGGTTTCTTCTGATAATGACAAAGAGCTTTTTATAAAGGTATAAGTTTCATTGTTTTCAACCTTGCTCCTCTGGTTCTTGGAAATCACACATGAATCAACAGCATTATCTGTGGATAAATGCTTACTACCATCCAAATTTTTTGAGTCATCAAAAGACATGAGCTTTGCTTCATTTGGATTATAATCATTCACACTGCTGTTTGATTTCAAGTTAAATATTCCAGAGAGTAATGAGCTTGAGGTATTGTTTTTATGGTGGGAACTGTCATTTTTCAAGTTTAATTCCTGTTGTGTAGGCATGTTTTCTAGAAAAGCAAACCTACTTAAAAGGCCAGAAAGGAAACCTTTTTGCATTCCTTTCCTAGAAGTTTTATCTTCAGGTTTGTCTTCATTAATGTCATTGACCAATGTGGATTCTGAAACGGCAGAGACAAGCTCCAATGAAGAGTCTGCCATCAAGGGAAATGCCACTTGTGTAGGAATCTCAGGTTCTCCAGAGAGCCCTAAAGTCACATGTTCTTTGGGCACAATTTCATGGTCGGCTTTTTCAAAATGGCTGCTTGAGTTCAATTCCTCTAAACTCCTAAATTTCCCAAAATCACTACTACTATTTGAAGTTGAGTCAGACTTCACTCTATTATGTTTTTCATCTTCAGAACAATGTGTCTGGTCGCCTTTCTTAAATTCCTCTATGCTGTTAAATTTCTCTAGATCATTATGAATTTTTGAGATTGAACTAGATTTTAATGAATTAAGTTTGACATCTTCAGGACAATTTATTTGGTCATTCTTAGTGAATTCCTCAGTACTTCCCAGTTTCACTAGATCATTATGAATATCTGGAAATGAACCAGATTTTACTGAACAGAGTCTGGTATCCATGTGGCAATTTTGTTGGATCTCTTTATCAGTGGTTGTTACTGAGCCATGAAAACTCTGGTTATTAACAGTGTTATGACTGTCCATGGGAGAAGATTTAAACAAAGGAAAAAATCTTCCTTTCTCTTTTATACCCTGATGCTTTTCAGAATGGCCAAGAACACTGAAAAATGGAATATGTAGTTTTCCACTAAAGGAAAATGAATGTTCATCTTTCTTAGTGTCCCTTTCTGGTCCACCTTCCTCCAGCTTAAGACTTTTTACAGATTCTGACAAAGTTTCCTTCTGACAGATCTCAGGAGAAGTAAACAGGAACTGACTAAATGATTTTCTGAGTGGCTCAAGGAAATCATCCTCTAATGTGTCTGCAGAAGACTCTTGATTTGCAAGGGTAGTGCCAGCAACACCAGGATGCCCCATAGTATCTTCAGCACTTAGTCTGGCTTGGTAGTGTGGCAGAGAAAGCTCCACACAAGGTTTTTCTTCCAACAAATTCCCGATATCACCTTTCTTACCTGTACTACTAGCTAAGTTTGAAGGTTCATCGGCCACTTGTGAGCACAGCAAATCTTCCCTTGCTTCCATTTGGAGATCTGTAGTTTCTCTTTGATTTCTATTTACAACAAGACTACTATTCTGCTTGTCAAATCTGTCCTCGCTTTGACTTGACTCTGAACCACACCCAACAAGGCTTTCTCTACTCGGTAATTTGCAATGGTCTTCCTCTTTCTCAGAAAATAACTTTGATGGATTCAGCATGCTGAAAACAGACTTCACAATTGAACTCTGACTTTGTGGAGCTGAGTCCTTTCTAATAGTTTCTGCACTGTCCTGAAAGCTCTCAACTTTAGTCTTATTACCCAGGTGCTCTCTCTCAGAGGTTCGGCCATGTCTGTCAGCATTCTTAACAGAAGTTGTTTGAGAGGATAAGAAAGACTGTAAGGAAAGATCCTTCTCTAATACTGAGTTGGCACTGGGGCTAGCTCCCAAATTAACTGTCTCTGTTTGATTAAGAGTTTCTGTTTTCTCTGGAACCAAATGAACCAGTTTTTCCACAGAGGTTGTAAGATGCTTTGTGCCTGAACCCACCTTTTCTGTTAGTGAACTGAATAAAGAATCAACAGCACATTTTACTCCATTCAGTTCAGGGAAAGATATGGCCTTGGCCTTGCCATTCTGAGTAATAGTTAAAGGTGCTGTTTGATCTTCAGGTGGTTTCTGTTCTGCATTATCAACAGCAGTATTGTGTTCATATAGTTTTTTAGTTTTTGAAAAGGAACCAAATCTATTAATCTCTTCTTCCTTCTCTGCTAAATACTCTGACACTGTTTCTACCAAACATTGAAGCTCATCCATTGTGTCAACATAGTTCTCTTTGGGTCCCTCGACAGAGGAAGGGGTCATATCTTCCATGGAGCATCGGGACAAATCTCCAACTGTTTTTGTATCACAGTTCAGCCTTTGTAATGGCAATGCTGAATCTGCCACACAATAGTCTTCAGAAAAGTCTCCTATATTATGGACATTGGATAAATGCCATGTTGGTGACATAGTTTCCTGCTCATCAGAAATGGGAGAGCTTAAAAGTTCTTCAGAAGTACTGCTGGTAGAATCATCAAGAACATCTAATGGAGTAAGATTAGAGCTAGAGCCAGATGCGTTTCCATGGCTCCTTAAGCAACAGGGCAAACCATAGTCACAGCTTTCCAAGTTCTTGTTCCAGGTGCCACTCTTCACAAATCCATTTTTGTAAGGGCACAAAACTTGATGGTTTAGCTTCTTCTTTTCAATGTGACAATGGCCAGAATTCTCAGTATCAGGATATGCACATTTAGAATTAATCTTAGTATTATAATGCCATCCTTCATTATCCTCAGAATGGCTATATATGGGTTTTTTCCTCCTCCTATCTACAGTGTTATATTTCTGAGGATATCTGGAAAATGCAGGTACTCCACACTTAGAGCCATGCTTGCCCTTGGGAGATATCTTTCTGAAACTGTACTCTGACTGTTTTTGTTCACTATGGTTCTCATATGTTTTTGAAAAGGTTCTCATTTCTTTTACCCCTACTTCCTTCAAATATATATCACTATTTTCTAGAACGTCTTGTGATGTTTTCCCATTCATCTCATATTTATTTTCTTCCTCTTCATAGTTAACGTTTGAAAAAGCTGAAATAATCCTAATTTTGTCATTCTTAGCCTGCCAGTCTTGTCTGATGTAAGTGGTTAAAATTGAAGGAGTAAGGGAAATGAAAAGGGAGAAACAGAGAAAAGAAAGAAATGAGTTACAAGACTCAATACCTGCTCAATGGGTTTTCAATACTAAAACTCCCAATATGATTTTTTAAAAATTAAAAGAAAACACATGAAAAGGAAATCCACACATGTCAACCAATCTTGTATCAGTATAGAGCATTCCTACATCAGAAAAACAGCTTTAGTGACAATTTAAGTTTTACTTGTTACCATTTATCACTAATTTTTTCACTTTATTTTCTGAGAAGCAAACAAAATTTTTACATGTTTTATCAATATCCACAATGAATATGCAATGCCCAAGTTTATAACTGTTAAGTACATCCAAAGAAAAGTATTAAAATATTTCAAGAAACCTTCATTTATTGATGCCTTGGAGTCTAAAAAGAAAGCTAAATGTTAACTTGCTGAATGTTATATTTGAGGCTATATACACAAAATTTAGCCAAGTCTTTTTAAAAGATTTGCCTCCTTTAAAAAGAAAAATACACATTCCAAAGATAACTTTCGGCTATCAAAAGTATAACTCTACCAAACAAGGAAATTACTTAAAGCAATGTAATTTTTTTGCTTATGAATCCAAAGCTATAGCATTGAGGACATAAAGGACTGTGCCTCCCCATGCTGATCACTGCAAACTCCAGGTCCAGTCTAGATCAGTGAGGACAGAAGCCAGCTGACCTTCATTCACCTGGATTAGAGATTGCCTATTCCTTTATTTCTACACAGGAAGCGTTCACAGACTAGGAGTTTTTCAGGTTAGTATGTTCTTTTAGATATCTGACACTTACTTAAGGATAGGAGTGCAGTTAGGCTTGGTGGTACACACTTTAATCTCAGTAGTAGGGAGGCAGAGGCAGATGGAGCTCTATGAGTTTGAGGCTAGCCTGGTCGATATAGCAAGTTCCAGGACAGCCAGGGCTACGTAGTGTGACCTTCCTCAAAACACTAAACAAATAAAACAGAAAGAAAGTAATAGGACTGAAAAAGTGGTCATAGAAGTCTTTCTTGGTTGAGAATAATAGTCTCTTAGCATTTTCAACACTAAAAATGCCTCGGCTACATGACAGTGAACATAAAATGACATCTGTATAAAACATCAAATTATATAAAATCCCTGTTATTCTGGATTCCCCAAGTAAAATGGCTAAGAAATCAAACATCCACCCACACACTTTTATTTATTTATTTTTTAAAGTCTGGGTCTTTCTATGTAGCACTGTACTCAGGAGGCAGAGGCAGGCGGATCGCGTGAGTTCGATGCCAGCCTGGTCTACAGAGTAAGTACAGGACAGCCAAGGCTACACAGAGAAACCCTGACTTCAGAGGAAACAAACAAACAAACAAACAAACAAACAAACATAACTCTAACGTGGAAAGGATCCAAAATAAATCCACAGATAACCATAGCTATAGTAATTATTTTACTATAGTAATTACCATAGCTATAGTAATTATTATAATTATTTTTATGCTTCTATTTTTCCTCTAAAACACATTTGTTCCTTGGAAGATCTGAAATTTGCTTTATTAAAAACTGTGTAACTGAAGGATCTGAGTCTAAATCTATGAACTGTTCATAATTAATACTAGTAACATCTTCATTTTCTCTTCTAAGTATCGTGTGAATGTGGGCACAGAGGTGCCACAGAACACATGTGAGGTCAGAAGACAACCTCGAGTGTTAGTCCTTGCTTTCCGCCTGGCTTGAAACAGTCACACCATGTGTGCTGAGGCACACTGTGTGCCCAGCCTGCTGGCCCTGTGAGCGTCAATGCTCCTGTCTGTCTCTCATCTCCTGGTGGGGATAAACACCAGGGCTGGTACTGCTGTGTCCCTGAGTCCAGTTCTTATCAGCTCTGAGGCTTTACCTCAGATTGTCTGGACTGTGTGTGTCACCCATGAAACATCCCCCAGCCACTCTTCCAAACTTTCTAATGAAAAATCATCTCAAAACATCAGATTTTTTAAAAATGTCTATAAGAGCTGGGCATGAGGGGCACATGACTAAATAATCCCAGTACTTTGAGTTTGAGGCTAGCCTGTTCTACACAAGTTCTAAACCAGGCCAGACGAAGCAAAACAAACAACAACAAAAAAAAAACTGATGACTTAAAAATCCTTTTAACTTTTCCTATGTTGAAAATGATAGCTTCTTTTTTGTTGTTTCCTCTTTTTAATTTTTTATTTATTACAATTTATTCACTTTGTATCCCAGCTGTAGCCCTTTCCCCATCCCTTCCCAAGAAAATGATTGTTGTTTTTAAACTTAATTTTATATATTGAGACAAGTAAATTTTAACTTATACGAGAACAATTATAGAAAAATCTTAGAGAAATAATTTGTAACTTAAAATATACCATTAATGTTCTTCTAAGTGATATTTATTATATCAACAACCAGAGAAATGGGCAAGATAATATAATGATTAGGTAAATCAATTTGTCCAAATAAAAGAGTATGTAGTTAGGATGCTGCTGGCCTAGGTATCTAATGCTTACACACAGAGGGAAGGGCAAAAGTAAAACAAATTTTGATACAGTTTTTCTTAAAATAGGCCAGTATAAACTAGTGTAAGTGAATAAAACATGTAAGCACTCAGCATAGTGGCAGCTGTTAGTCACAGCTATTCAAGAGAAGAGGCTAAAGCACGAGTTCACTTGAGTTCACCTGAATTCACTTGAACTCAGGAATTCTAGGCTTGCCTAGGCAGTAGATCAAGAACCTGCAGCCTAAAATAAGTAAGTAAATAAAATAAAAAGCAATGCAGGAAAGTTGCCAAAAGCCCCTCTAACCTCTCACCATGGTCATGCAAGCAGCTTCAGTTAAATGCACTGGATCACAAAAAGTAAGCGTGCACAGAGTGTTGGGAGGTAGCTCAGCAACAGAGCACCTGACCTTGCAGGCACAAGGCACAAACTTCAATCCCCAGCATTCTGAAAACCAACCAACCAAGCAATAAATGTAACCACCCATTCAGTAAGACCATTAAGTTGCCAGCTTCCATATGATTCTTAATATATTTCATTTCAGATTCGGAATATGAACCTATTATGTTAATATACTTTAATAAATTTGTTTTAGATTCAGAGTATGAATCTATGTTATGTCACAGTTGTTGTATGAGAAACTTCATTGAATAGACTTTTGACACTGACAGGAAACTAGGGCATGCGATTGTCTAGCAAGTAGCTCCAGATAAAAATTCACCAAGGAAAGCTGACCATGGTAAAAAACAAGCCTTTAATCCCAGCACTCAGGAGACAGAGGCAGGTAGATCTCAGTGAGTTCAAGGCCAGCCTGGTATACAGAATGAGTCCAAGACAGCCAGGAGTACACAGAGAAACCCTATCTCTTAAAAAACAAAAACAAAATATTTCACCAATGTATAAAATACATGAAATGGCTGTGTGTGTGTGTTGGGGGGGAGGGTTGAGATCAAATTGGATTATTTTTTTCTTTTGGTTTTTTGAGACAGGGTTTCTCTGTGCAGCCTTTACTGTCCTGGACTTGCTTTGTAAACCAGGTTGGCCTTGAACTCACTGAGATCCACCTGACTCTGCCTCCTGAGTGCTGGAATTACAGGTGTGTGCCACCACACCCAGGTGAATGATTTTTAAAATAACTAATCTTTCACCAATAAAATAAATGATTCAAGCAAGAATTGACAAATGTTAAAAATCATCGGTAGGGCTAGAGAAATTTCTGAGCAGTTAAAGAGTTTAAGCTCTTTCAGAGGTCCTGCGTTCGACTCCCAGAAACCACATGGTGGCTCCCAGCCATCTATACTGGGATCTTCTGCCCTCTTCTGGAGTGCAGGTGTACATGCAGATAGAGCACTCATACACAAAATAAACAAATCTTTTAAAAAATTAAATTAAAAAATCACTGGTAAAAGTTTTTCTGGAAATGCACTACTACTGTAATCCCAGATATTACTTAGTTATGAATGAGGAAGAGTATTTTTATACTGGGGAGCAATATAGTATATACTAGATTTCTTTACCAACATATCAAATAAAGTATCCCTAATAAGACAAAGTATGTACTTCCTGAATGAACTATGAAGAAAATATCACCATATCTAGTATTTCTGCCAAAAAAATGTTTAAACTGATTCTAAACACAAAGAAACAATCAAATAAAACCAAATTAAATTATAGTCTCAAAACTGATGACTTCGTTTCCTCAAAAAAATGTGTCTTACACAGCTAAAGAAAAAACACAGCAAAGAAATTTTGGTAAATTAAAGGAAACTAAAGAAACAGGAAACCCAAGTACAATGTTTTGAGATTCTTGACTAGATTGATCACCTGTCAAAAAAGGAAAACTACTATTTTTCAAGAAGAAAAAAAATACAAGACTGAGTTTCATCATGAGAACTTGATTCAAAATAAAATAGAATAAAATTTTTAAATGGGGCGGAAAACTGTGCATGAAGAGCCCTGGGAGAACTGGAGAAATTAATTATTTGTGTTTGAGATAATGTCATTGTATTATCAGAGCACTAAGGTTATATAAGATGAAGTCCCCTTTTCAGAAGTTATGTACTAAATTACTTTCTAGTGACATAACATAGTGTCTGCAACTTACTGTATGATATCAGGAAAAAGCACGTATGGATGGATATATTAGGGGTAATCAAATCAAATAAAGTGGCTACATGTTAATGTAAATAAGTCTAAGCAACAAGAATGTGAGTAAGGTATTTGTTGTATCATTTCCCCAAAATTTAAGCTGAAATAGTTTTTTAAACACTGGGGAGTAAGAATAAGCACAAATGCATATTTTTCCTTTATACTCACAATACACACAATACTCACAATAGTCTATGGAAGGGTACATAAAAATGGCAATATGAAGAAGACAAGAAGAAGATGGCACATGGGATGGAGAATAACCAAGGGTATGGATGGGAGATTGTTCACCAAATGCCATATCGTACCTTAAAATTTATCTAAACATATACATATTTTGTATTTAAGAAATTAATAAAGTGAATTAAAATAAGTTCACCAAAAATACCAAATCTGCTATAATAAGATTATATCGGTTATATAATAAGGTTATATCCTTATGAAGCTTCTAGGGAAATAAAAAAGACTACTCAAATACTTATACTGGTCATTTTCTTTGTTTTAATCTTAGTAAATGGTTTGTTAAAATTACTAATGGAGAGAAGTGATGGCGTAGGAGGACCAGGTATTTTTCAGCCACTCACTCAGGTGGGCATGCCCTCACCGGTAGGATCACAAAGACAAGTATTCCTATAGGAAACGCCTATACGTAAGTGTGTGGGAGAGAGATGAAGAACAAAAACCTACATAAACGCTTCTAGCTCTCCCCATCACACTGCTACATTTCCACTACGACCTCCATCAAAGAACTAGGCTCTGCCTGTCAGTGGCCATCATGGGACCTGGATCAATACCGACCTGAGGGCCCGCCGCTCTGGATAGTCAAGGTCATAACTCTGCATAGAATCATTGCAAGAGTCCCGGGAACTGCCTTGAAGAACCACCTGCTGTGGCAATCGCACTGGTACAGGGAACTGGTGCACAGAAGCATTGGGCTGGGTAGTGGTGTGGTAAGGAGGAGGGATGCTATTGCTGGTCTCACTGCGATAGTCACTGTCCCGGTCATCGACAGCACTGTCAGGGTCTTCAAAGGCTGCAAAAAGACACAAACCAACCACCCAGGTTTTATGTAATTTTTCAGAATGCTTCCTGCTTCTAAGTTAGGTAGCCATACACCTGAAACTTAAAAATAAGAGTAAAAATTGAGCTGCATAAAATTGCAGTGACATCAAAACTATGTGCAAAGTGACATCTCTCTTTATCAAATGAGACAGGACAGCTTCATTTTACTGTTGATTCTTGGAGGAACACCTACATTGCATTTTCTCAAGGCAAAGTTCTCTGGAATTCTTCTTCCAGAAGAATTGTTTGTTTGTTTGTTGTTTTTTGAGACAGAACCCTGGCTGTCGTGGACTCCCTCTGCAGAGCAGGCTGGCATTGAACCCACAGAGATCTACCCACCGTTGCCTCCCAACGCTGGGATTAAAAGCATGTGCCGCCATGCCTGGTTTAGCTAGCTTTCTTAATGATAACTAAAACAACTACCATCACAAATAAAAACTGTTAGAGAAGGAATGAACCAATAGTATGCAAACTACATTACATAAAAGCCATATCTGATGCTATACCCGTATGTATATAACTAACAAGGTTCCATATGTCCTTTTTTTTTTTTTCCAAGTTCCTATTTGGCTCACAATGACGAGAAGGAGCACTCACCATTCCCAAACAAAAATACTTTTAGCATATAATGGGCACCTCATATTAGTAATTCTGAAAGATACTCTTGGTAGCAGTGTAAGCTACAGAAATCTCCCAAAGACTGTAAGATCAAACTTCCACTTGGGCAGGAAATCTTGACTTGTGTCCAAACAGCAGAAATAGCAAAGACCTAATGAACTCAAACACACAAAACGAAAATGCAGACAGAACTGATGAGACACACAGCTGTAACTCCTGAACTTGCAAGGTAGAGGCAAGAGGATTAGGAATTGAAATCTATCCTCAGCTACACAGCAAGTTCAAGACCAACCTGAGCTATGTGAGCCCTGTTAAGTATTATCCAGATTACTTAATCTTGAGATGGTGCCAGGATATACACCAGATGTAATATTTTTTTAAAAATAATAATTTTTCTTTAACCTGAGAAAAAATAGACAAGGATAAGAAGAGGGCTCCAAGACTTCAATGTCAGTCTACAGCTAAAGGGAGAGAAATAAATGCATCTGAGCACTGAGGCTAATTAGAAACTGAAAGGGGAAATTAAGAAAAAGGTAAACGCTTCAGCTTGAATAAAAGTTGTTCTAGTGGCAGCCAGAGCCTCTACAACCTACCCCTCAGTGCCATGTGATCTAGGAGAAACCAGCTTTACAGAAAAATAACAGCTTCTGAGCACAAGTTTGACTACTCATCCAAAGAGACTTGTGAGCTAGTTTAAAGGCAAAAATTTTAAAAACCAGCCAGGTGTGCTAACACATGCCCCAGTTTGAGGCCTGGTCTACATAAAAGAGATTCAAACCAGCCAGGGCTATATAGTGAGGCCATGTCTCAAAATAAAGAAAAATACATTTTTTTGAAAATGGAAAAGCCCTGGTAAAGTTTATTTGAAAGATGGAAATGAATAGATGCTCATTCAAATGCTGGATGCCTACACATGCAAGCCCAAACTACAAAGAAGATTTATAATATATGGAGAATGAAAATATGGGTCAAATACTGAATTTTTACTGAAGGGAGCTCCTACATGAGAATACCATATGCCAGGTGCTATATGACTTGAAGGGAAAGAAAGTTCATTTCCTGATGGGGGAGGAAGAGAAGCTTTACTGCTTTGAAGAACCGTGGCTTTTCAGTAGGTAAAAGTGGAGGGGGAAGGGAACACTGGCTAGAGTCCAGATAAGAAAGATGTTATCATGAGAGGGTGTGTGTGTGTGTGTATGTGTGTGTGTGTGTGTGTGTGTTACATTCTAACAAAAATTTAGTAATTCACTCAGCATGTACATAAAAAGCAATAATACAAAATAAATGTAAGGCTGGAGAAATAGCTCAGAGGTTAAGAGTACTGATTATTTTTTCAAAAGTCCTGAGTTCAATTCCCAGCAACCACATGATGGCTCATAACCATCTATAATGAGATCTGGTGCCCTCTTCTGGCCTGCAGGCACACATACAGGCAAAACACTGTATATGTAATAATAAATAAATAAATCCTTAAAAGCAAAGAGGCCCTCTGTGGTAGGCTCCTGTCCTGTTTCCTGTTTTCTCCTTCTTCCAATGTCCATCCCATTTGTCTTTCTGAGTGAGGATTGATCATCTTACCCAGGGGCCTCTGAAAGACTCAACCCAGCAGTGTATCAAAGCAGGTGCTAAGACTCTTAACCAGACTTTGGGCAGAGTGCAGGGAATCCTATGAAAGAAGGGGGAGATAGTGGGACCTAGAGAGGACAGGAGCTCCACAAGGAGAGCAACAGAACCAAAACATCTGGGCACAGGGGTCTTTTCTGAGACTGTTACTCCAACCAAGGACCATTCATGGAGATAACCTAGAACCCCTGCTCAGATGTAGCCCATGGCAGCTCAGTCTCCAAGTGGGTACCCTAGTAAGTGGAACAGGGACTGTCTCTGTCATGAACTCAGTGGCTGGCTCTTTGACCACGCCCCCTGAAGGGGTTGGAGCAGCCTTGCCAGGCCACAGAGGAAGACAATGCAGCCAGTCCTGATGAAACCTAATAAGCTAGAGTCGTATGGAAAATGAGGAGGACCTCCCCTATCAGTGGACTTGGAAAGGGGAGTGGGGGGATGTAAGGGAGGGAGGGGGAATAGGAAGAGGTAAGGAAGGGAGGGGGAATAGGAGGGAATGAGGGAGGCGGTTACAGCTAGGATACAAAGTGAATAAATTATAATTAATATAAAAAAATAAAAATTTAATTAAAAAAAGAAAATAAATGTAGCCTAGGCAAGGTAATTTAGCCTATATCAAAAATGGCCCTCTAACCTCACAGTCAACACTCAAGAAAACGGAATGAAATACTGACTACTGTGCCTCTCTGGCATGTAGTTCTCTCGGATTCAGTCACTGTCTTTAAATCCTGAATTTAAACCACTAGAATTTTCTTGGCCAGAGAAGAAATAAAAGAGAACTAACATGTGTATGTGGCTTACTTTTGCCCATTTGAGAATCATAACATTTATCTTTCTTGGGCTGTTTCTTTGGAGCAGTTCTCTAGCAGCAGAAATGCTCAGGACTCAAGCCACAGGAAGGACTTAGACATTCCAATGACAATGACCACTGAAGTCCGACCATCCGCTGGATACCCCGAGACTGGTTCTCGCCCTGTCCAAAGGACAAAATCATCTCAAACCGAGCACTTCGCTGGGAAGAACTGGCTGCCTGCTCTCCAAGCCAAAGAACAAAGGTGGGTTCTAGTGTAGGTGGGCTGCTTCAAGGAAAGTCAGACCATGGCCTGTCATTTCCCAAGATGACACTTGGCTAGAGGAATGACCAGACACATCAGCCTGCTCTGTAGATCTCCCCGCTTTGTCTTCACACAGCCACACTAAAATGCACAATGACCCTGCCCTCTAGTCAGCTCAGAATAAACTTTCTATGAGACCTAAAGTGCCAACACCACAGGCCGATGGCACCACAGTGTCTAGGGAACAGTTTGCTAGTCCTATTAGGAACTCAAAATCAATCTCTTCTCTCTCCTTCTCTTCCTTTTTCTATCACTCCCTATGCCACCTGCCACCAAAAAAAAAAAAAAAAAAAAAAAAAAAAAAAAAAAAAAAAAAAAA